CGCGCCCGCGCTCGGGCACCCACCCAACTGGCACGCGCGGGAGCTGGACGTCATCCCCTAGTTAACATTCATAGCCTTCCTCTGAGCACGTGGGCCTGCCTTTATTAATATTTATGCATTTCTGTTTCTCTCCTCTTTAACATTGGTCTTTCTGCTTCCCTCATGAATATTCAGAAGCTCCAAGATGAGCGCGTGCAGTAACTATCAACATGGATACCTCGCAGAGCCTGACACTAGCTTCTGGATAAAATGCAGGCGATGGCTGCTGGCGGATGCCGGCAGACACACTCAAAGGCCCTCTTGGACTTTCTGAGCTGCCCATTCTCCTCTACTGGAGGCTGAGGCGGGCAGGCCCAGCGACGTCTCCCAGCCCCAACTGAGTTCCGACCTCAAGCCAAAAGTGAGGAGGCCGGCAGGACAGCTTTTCTCGCCCAAAGATGCGGGGTGGGAGCCGGATCCAGCTGAAAAATCTGAGTGAGAAGGTTTCAGGCCCAGGAGGACTTGAGATAATACAGGAAAATTCAAGAGGCTGAAATAAGAAGGGTGCCTGGGGTCTTGTGAAAAATTATTCATTTATCATGTCTACTGTGTATAGGCCTGTGCTTATAGAAGCTGTCAATAAAAAGTCTCATAATTCATGGATACACACAGCTAAGAGCACAAGAACTGTAATTATCGAAGGAAGGCACTGGAAAAAGCATGTCGGCTTGGAGAACCCCAAGTACTTTTGTCTGATTACAAAGTACCTCTGGGCTGAACTGAGAACTTCAACTGGAAGGGGCAGGGAGCTTCTCTTTTGCTGGTTTATGCATTCATTCCACAGACATTTCAACCATGAGAAGGATGGAAACAGGAATAATGTCCCAATGAGATGAGAAGAAGCGTTGGCCTATTTGCCTTTGTGGGAGCAATAGACAGACAGAGGATGTCTTCCTGTAAGAAATCATAAGGCCAGGCACAGTGGCTCACACCTGTAATCCCAACATTTTGGAAAGCTGAGACAGGAGGATCACTGGAGGCCAGGAGTTCAAGACCGGCCTAGGCAACATAGTGAGACCACATCTGTACAAAAAAAAAAAATAGCCAGGCATGGTGACCCATCCTGGTAGCCCCAGCTATGCTGGAGGATGAGGTGGGAGGATCGCTTGAGCCCAAGAGGTTGAAGCTGCAGTGCACTCCAGCCTGGGCAACAGCAAGACCTTGTCTCAAAAATAAATAAATAAATAAATAAATAAATAAATAAATAAATAAATCACAAAGAGTAGCTGGTTAAAAGATCCCTAAATCTCCTTTCTTGGGATCATACCCAGTTTTGTGACCTTAGGTTAGTTAACTTCCCTGTGGCTCATTTCCTCATCTGTAAAATGAAGAAAATAATAGTGCCCCACTCTATTGTGGCCTGTTGTGGGATTAAAGGAATGAATATAAGTAAAGTACTTCCAGGTATATTAGAAGGCACTATACGTAGGTGTGTGTGTGTGTGTTTATATATATATATGTCTTGGCTAATTTGAGGCCATCTTTTGTCTAGATCTTCAGAGCATGGGACAAACAGGTTTGAGAGAAGCTTGTGAAGTACTGAAAGTGATAAAGAACTTGGTCTTGAACTGGTGACCTTGTTAGTTATCCTCTCTGAGCCTCAGTTTTCTCATCTGTAAAATGGTGATGCCAATATCTGCTGTTGGATGCCAATGTCTACTACAAAGTTGTTGTTATGCATATTAAGTAATATAATGCGTGCAAAATGCTTAGCACAGTGCCTGGCATATAATAAGTAACCAATTAGTGGATTCTGTTGTTATTTTTGTGAGGCTATGAAGAAACTGAAAGTTGAGGACATCTAGGCTAGGTACCTGGGATGAGAAATCCCTGAACATTAGCCCAGTTATTCTTTCAGCAAACACTTATTTTATTGTAGTAAGATATATACAACATAAAAATTACTATTTTAACTATTTTAAGTATACAAGTCACTAGTATTAAACACATTCACATTGTTGTGTAACCACCACCACTATTCATCTACAGAAATTTTGTTATCCATACAGAAACTCTGTATCCATTAGACACTAACTTCCCAGTACTCCCTTCCCCAGCCCCTGGTAACCACTATTCTAATTTTGTCTCTAAGAATTTGACTATTCTAGGTACCTCATATAAGTGTAATCATATAATATTTGTTTTTTGTATCTGACTTATTTCACTTAGCACAATGTTTTCAAGGTTCATCTCCGTTGCAACAATGTCAGAATTTCCTTTCTTTTTAAGGTTAAATAATATTCCATGGTATGTATATACTACATTTTGTTTATTCATCTGCCCATGGACATTTGGATCGTTTCCACCTTTTGGCTATTGTGAATAATGCTACTAATTTGTCATGAGATTAGAGTGAGAAAGAAAGGATAAAAAAAATAATGGTGCTATCAACATTGGTGTACAAATTCCAGCAAACATTGGTTGCATTCTATGACCTAGGCTAGAAGTTGGGGAGCTAAAATGAAGGCATGCTTTCAGGAGGTTCCATGTTTAGTACGTTGATTTCCAAACTCTGCTGCTTAGAACCTGTGGTGGATTGAATGGTGTCTTCCTAAAATTCGTGTCTACCCTCAGTAGGTAGCATGGCCCTGCTGACAGCTTGATTTTGGACTTCCAGCCTCCAGAACCATGAGATCACACATTGCTCCATAAGATCATTTGTTATGGCAGGCCTAGGAAACTAACACAAATTTTGGTAGTAGAAAGTGGGGTGCTGCTGTAGCAAATACTTAAAAATGTGCAAGTGCCTTTGGAACACGGTAATGCAAAGAGGCTGTAAGAATTTTGAGACACATGACAGAAAAAGCCTATATTGCCCCAAAGAGACTGCTGGTAGAATTACAAATACTAAGGGCAATTCTAGTGAGGCTTCAGAAATGAGGAGACCATAGAGAAAGTTTCTATGGTCATAGAGAATACATGTATTATCATAACAAAATAGAAATATGAATGTTAAAGGTGATTCTGGCAAGGTCTAAGATGGAAATGAGGAACTGCTGTTAGAAACTGAACAAAAGAGAAACTTTTTTATAGAGTGGCAGATAACTTGGCTGAATTTTGTCCTGCTGTTGGAAGGCAAGTAGAACTTATAAGCAATGAACTTGTATATTTAGCTGAGATTTCCAGGCAAAATGTAGGAGATTTGGCCAGGTTTCTCCTTGTTGCTTATAGTAAAATGCAAGGAGGAGTAACTCACTCCTAAGTAGTGAGTTACACAGGAGACCAACATGGTTTCTGAGAATTTTATACCAACAGAAACACTGTCAGCCTGAAATGAAAAGGACAGAGATAAAATGAAGGACAAGTCTTAGACCTCTGAAATTCCACAGGCAGAAAATAGGCTGATGCATGTTCTTGGCAGCAAACATGGATTATCCTTCAAGAAAAAGAAAGAATGACTTTTAGGATGGAGCCCATTGCCTTGGATCCAGAGGAAGGAGCATCGAACCACAAGGGATTTTTCTCAGGCCTTGAAACCTAATGGAATTTCCCCTGCTGTTCTGCAAGCTTGCTTTGGGCTAATGAGCCCCTGTTTCCTTTCCATTTTCTCTCTCTTTCAAAAATGTTCTTAAAATTTTTTTTGTAGAGATGGGGTCTCACTATGTTGCCCAGGCTGGTCTCAACCTCTTAGCCTCAAGGGATTCTCCCACCTCAGCCTCCCAAAGGGCTAAGATTATAGGCATGAGCTACGGTGCCCAACCCTCCTTTTCTCCCTTTTGCAAGGAGAATGTCCATCCAATATCTGCTCTACCACTGTATTTTGGAAACAGATAATTTGATTTCTAGTTTCAAAGGTCCACAATGCGAGAGGAATTTTGCCCCAGAATATATCACACCTAGAGTTTCACCCATACCTGATTTAAATGATGAGATTTGGAACTTTTAGAGTTTATATTTGTAATAGATGAGATTTAGATTTAGAGCTAATGCTGAAATGGGTTAAACCTTAGGAATGTTGGGATGGGGCCAGGCACCGTGGCTCACGCCTATAATCCCAGCACTGTGGGAGGCCAAGAGGGGCAGATCACTTGAGGTCAGGAGTTTGAAACCAGCCTGGCCAACATGGTGAAACTCTGTCCCTACCAAAAAATATAAAAAACTAGCCTGGTATGGTGACGTGTGCCTATAATCCCAGCTACTCGGGAAGCTGAGGCAGGAGAATTGCTTGAACCTGGGAGGCACCGGTTGTAGTGAACCAAGATCGTGCCACTGCACTCCAGCCTGGACAACAGAGCAAGACTCCCATTTAAAAAAAACAAAAAACAGAACATTGGATGGGATTAATATATTTTGCATGAGGAGTAGACAAGAATTTTGGGGGAGCCACAGGGTAGACTGTAGTGGGATGGATAATGTTCCCCAAAAATACATGTCTACCCCAAACTTCAGAATATGACTTTATTTGGAAATAGGGCCTTTGCAGATGTAATTAGTTAAAATGAGATCATACTAGATTAGGGTGGTCCTGAAATCTAATGACTTGGTGTCATTGTTAAGGCAGTCCTAAAAAAACCAGTATAGAACCCTAGAAAGAGTCAAGGATGTAATTCAATATTCAACATACCTTTTTTTTTTTTTTTTTTTGAGACAGAGTCTCGCTCTGCCACCCAGGCTGGAGTGCAGTGGCGTGATCTTGGCTCACTGCAAGCTCCGCCTCCCGGGTTCATGCCATTCTCCTGCCTTAGCCTCCCGAGTAGCTGGGACTACAGGTGCCTGCCACCTCGCCCAGCTAGTTTTTTTGTATTTTTTTTAGTAGAGACGGGGTTTCACCGTGTCAGCCTGGATGGTCTCAATCTCCTGACCTCGTGATTCGGCCTCCCAAAGTGCTGGGATTACAGGCTTGAGCCACCGCGCCCGGCCAATATTCAACATACTTTAGTACCTCCTGTGTACAAAGCACTGCCAAAATTAAGGATGCAGCAATGAAGAAAATAATTTATGTCAAGCACTGGCACATGACCTAGCATATAGTATGTGCTCAATAAGTGCTGACTGTGTGTTGTTAGGGGTTTCAGGGATCCTCCTTAGGGCTGATAGAGCTATTCCCACCTCCCTATCCCTTCAATCAAAGTTAATCAAATTTTATTTTTACTCATACTAAAAGTTTCTAGAGCTTAACAAAGTTTCAACTGGGTGCAGTGGCTCACGCCTGTAACCCCTGCACCTTGGGAAGTCGAGGAAGGAGGATCACTTAAGCCCAGGAGTCTGAGACCAGCCTGAGCACCATGGTGAAACCTTGTCTCTACTAAAAATTAAAAAGTAAAAATTGACCAGGCATGGTGGTGCACTCCTGTAGTCCCAACTACTTGGGAGGCTAAGGCAGGAGGATCGCTTAAGCCCTCAGAGGTGGAGGTTGCAATGAACTGAGATGGCTCCACTTCACTTCAGCCTGAGACACAGAGCCAGACCCTGTCTCAAAAATAAATATCCAGCTGGGTG